CTTTTCTACATATTTTATTTCAATACTTTTCTCTACTTCACGTTTCTAATACTATTCACCTTGAGGGCTTCAGGTAAAGGAGAAATTGGTGCAAGGGCATCCTTTGTGAAATACTTGTGTATGTATCCTTTCACCCACAACATACCGCTCTTTTGTCAATCTTTTTTCTTTCTTTAATAGCAAAAGTTGAGTTTCTTTTTTTTTATATTAATGTGTATGTGAATACGTTTCTTTTTTTAAAAATGGGAATAATTCTTTAAAAATTGGAATATCCTTAAAAAAAATAGGAATAATTCTTTAAAAATGGGAATAATTCTTAAAAAATTGGAATAATTCTTTAAAAAATGGGAATAATTCTTTATAAATGGGAATAATTCTTTAAAAATTGGAATAATTCTTCAACAAATGGGAATAATTCTTTATAAATGGGAATAATTCTTTGAAAATGGGAATAACTCTTTAAAAATGGGAATAATTCTTTAAAAATGGGAAAAACTCTTTAAAAATGGGAATAATTCTTTAAAAATTGGAATATTCTTAAAAAATGGGAAATAATTCTTAAAAAATAGGAATAATTTTATAAGATTTGAGTTTCATCAAGCAGGATGACGCGACATGAAACTGACAACCTTTGATCCACACCAGCGAATAGGAAAAAAAAATGTCCGTTTTACCTGTGTAAACCTCGGGTTTCATCAGTTGAGTTCAACCTTGCCTTGTACTTAACCTTCACTTCTTAAACCAAATTTGTACGTGGCTAAAAATAGCCGTAATGTAAGCCCAAATTATTCGCTCTAATTCCCCCGTTTCCGGTTGACCTCCGACTGCTCTAAGAATAGAACACCAGCGGCCATTTTTCTGCACTGATGGCTTATCAAATGGTTAGTGATTCTTTCCACGTCGGGTTAAAGTATGTGGGAAATTTGATCTGATCCAAGTCTAGAAACATGTTGAACTTTCACCCCCCCCCTTCCAGAGGGGAGGGTATAGTGCGACCTCTGACCTCATGGGTATAGAATATTAGTGTTCAAGTCTTGGATAGTTTAGAGCTTATGTGTGGACGGTCATGCTGTGCAAGTTAGCCCTAGCTTTGGGGGTCGTCTATAAATGACGTCACATTCGTAGGGGGAGGGAGGTCCGTAATTTGGTGACGGACGGTGTGTGATGAAGGGGAGTGAAGGGGAGGGGGTGTTCAGATGGTGTAACGTCATACTTTTGTATTATAAAAAAAACAATGTTAGAAAACCAATTTTAGCCGTTATTTCGCGTTTTAGAGAACTGTTTTAATAAATTATAATAGAAAATTGATTAAAATACTCCATGTTGACAGAGTTCAGACAAGATTTTGGAAAAATATCGTATTTTAAGAAAAATTCAACTGCTATTTTGAGGGGGGGGGGGGTGTAGGCTGAGGTGTGACGTCCTTTTAGGGGGGGGGGGGATTCTGGCTTTTTGTGACGATGTGTGACGGAGGGGAAAGGTAAAAAATTGTGAAAATTTTGTCATTTATGGATGACCCCTTAGTTGGAAATGTGCGTGTAATTTAAATATGGATGTTAGAAGCAGTGTCAAAACTTTTTTGGGGAAAAACATCATTCAAGAACTTGAAGTTTTGACAATAGTTCTACGTGAGAATGACAAAATAAAAGTGTATGCATTTGCTACTGTTTTGTATAGTATTTTTATGGAGCGTGTGTACCTAGACTATATAACGCGAAGAAAAGTTAGAATACTGAAGAAACCTGTACATTTGGTTTTCTAGTAGTTTTTTTTCAAAACTTACTTTTAGTTTATTTTTTTAATATGCAGCTATAACAGTTTTATCCTGCCCAGTGGTATTGATATAAATAAATTTAAGATGCTTTAAGGCGGAAATTAGAGGTGTGCTACATAGGAGTAACTCTGTTATTAGGAGCAGTTCTGTTGATAAAAAAATTTAATCAGTAGCCTACTGTAACATATACACTCGTGTATTCGTTAGATTTAGGATTAGAGTAAGTTCTGCTTAGAGCTACTTGTTTGGACTGGGATTAGATTAAGTACTAACGCCTGAGTTATGTTTTTTTCTAAGGCTAGCGTTACTGTTGAGCTTATGACTTGGATTATGACCTGAGATTTGCTTTCGGATTGGACTTAGTGTTTATATATTGAGGTTAAAACAGCGGGTTAGGTTAAGGTTTGAAGGATTGTAAAGGTCTGTACCAGCTTCACGAATACATTAGAACGTCTGTTGAACAGTTACCACAAACTACAGCACACCAAATGTGTTGTTGTTGTTTTTTTAGTTAGGCCAAGAGAAACCACGTGTGTTCAAGGAATTTAAGGTCAAGGTTCAAAGGTCACGTCACTGAAGGTCACATAAATTAATATAGTTTCTTGTATCGATCCCGCCCACGTGGGCGATTTTAATCAGCTGAGGTTATCGGCTGTGAAAGTCACTGCTATCAGGTGTGATATTTTTTACTGCCATTAACTGCTGAGTCACACTACTCCAACGTCGATGGTACTAACATCGTTGATGTCAAGTTTCTAACATCATTGATGTCAAGTTTCTAACATCATTGATGTCAAGTTTCTAACATCATTGATGTCAAGTTTCTAACATCATTGATGTCAAGTTTCTAACATCGATGTCAGGTTACTAAAATCATTGAAGACAAGTTTCTAACATCATTGATGTCAAGTTTCTAACATCATTAATGTCAAGTTTCTAACATCATTGATGGCAGGTTTCTAACATCATTGGTGTCAAGTTTCTAACATCATTGATGGCAGATTTCTAAAATCATTGATGTCAAGTTTCTAACATCATTGATGGCAGATTTCTAACATCATTGATGTCAAGTTTCTAACAATATTCATGTCAAGTTTCTAACATCATTGATGTCAAGTTTCTAACATCATTGATGTCAGGTTTCTAACATCATTGGTGTCAAGTTTCTAACATCATTGATGTCATGTTTCTAACATCATTGATGTCATGTTTCTAAAATCATTGATGTCAACATCATTGCTTTTTTGTGCACCCGTTTATACAATAAGCGGGGTGGTCGAGCAAAAGAGTACATGACTGTGAAACTGTAAGCATGCAGTTCAAACCTGCCTTATAGTAGCGTCAAATTGTGCATCAACATCTCTACCTGACCTGCTTCAAGAATACAACATTATAAATATAATGTTTGATACTTGGTCAACTTACATTTTCCAGTTAGGCATTTCATTTGTTTTTAGAAGGGGTGGGGGAGGGGGGTAGTAGAGTTGTAGGGTTTAACCCAAAAAATAAACACACTAATTTAATAGTATTTCACTGCTCCAATTCGCCAGTCATAATAAAAGTGTTAGGTGTATTTTCTCCCCATCCAATAGGACCCTGTACATTGGAGTAATAGATTACCATACCTGCTGGTACAATCTATGGGACCCTGTACATTCGAGTGATAGATTGCCTGGTACAATCTATGGGACCCTGTACATCCGAGTGATAAATTGCCATACCTGCTGGTACAATCTATGGGACCCTGTACATTAAGGTGATAAATTGCCATACCTGCTGGTACAATCTATGGGACCCTGTACATTAAGGTGATAAATTGCCATACCTGCTGGTACAATCTATGGGACCCTGTACATTAAGGTGATAAATTGCCATACCTGCTGGTACAATCTATGGGACCCTGTACATCCGAGTGATAGATTGCCTGGTACAATCTATGGGACCCTGTACATTCGAGTGATAGATTGCCTGGTACAATCTATGGGACCCTGTACATCCGAGTGATAAATTGCCATACCTGCTGGTACAATCTATGGGACCCTGTACATTAAGGTGATAAATTGCCATACCTGCTGGTACAATCTATGGGACCCTGTACATCCGAGTGATAGATTGCCTGGTACAATCTATGGGACCCTGTACATCCGAGTGATAAATTGCCATACCTGCTGGTACAATCTATGGGACCCTGTACATTAAGGTGATAAATTGCCATACCTGCTGGTACAATCTCTATGACCTTCCCAACAGTTACGGGCTGTTACCGAATCGCTTCTGACTCATCCCGGTATCTCGCAGCCAGGGGTTCAAGTCCTTCTTTAATCTTCGATCTCAATCTGATTGATAGAAAACCGATCCAGAGATAACGGCGTCAATAACAATATACCGGAGTTCCTAATCCGTTAATAACAAAACACCGATTCATTGTTCCTGTTAAGTGTATCGGAATTTTCACCAATAAAAATCAGGGTCTAACCTCTCTGAAAGTAACCCCCACCCCTACCCCCCTCCTACCCACCCCGACTCCCCCTATCAATAAATATTGCGTACAGTTTAAACTCCACCTCTCGGCCCACGGTACTACGTGCAGAAAACCAGTTACACTCGTGACGAGATACGAGTTGTGTCCCATTTCCTTGCACTTCTTCAACTCTTGTTACAGTATTATCTCCCCTGAGTAGGGGAGCGAACCGCAGATAACTGCGGGTCGGTAATCAATAGGCGTAGACATTATGTATTTTCAATTTTATCTTTACGAAAATGATAAAATTATAGCTTTCCATGTGAAAACATAACAACCAATAGTTAAAATACATTATTTTATTTTATTTTTGTTTCAAAAGTCTGGTGACCTACGATAAATAAAATAATTTATCAGTTATCAGCGGGAGGCTCCGCCCATGCAAACCACTGACATGACCTTCCGCATGCTCGTTCCGTCTCCCGCTGACGTCATCAACCGCCGTGAATCACTCCGCAAAGGGGTTTCCCGCTGACCTCGAATATTTCTCGAACTTGGCCTCGGCGCAGCCTGCCCTACACCGCCGCATTACGTGCCGTTACGAGGTTCCGAGTTGGTTAACTATAACGCTGGCGGAAACCTCCGAGCGGTCACGGAAACCCGCGAGGGACTTTTTACCTTACTGTGAACGTGAAAAACGGCACATAGCACGAATGGAGAAAAAAAAATTTTCACACAAAGTTGAACGAAAGTGCATTGTGTTCATTGTGGATCGTCAGAGCAGTAGACGTGGGTCGTCTGATAGGATCACTCGTGTCTGACGGAGTCTATGACCCCTGCGATCACCAGACCGTGTCCAGCGCGCGTGAGCCAGTGGTCATTGGATTCTAGTACGTGAGTACCTTGGTTTGAACTTTGACCCCGCGATAATTTAACTCGCTTTATGTTATGGGATAAATGGAATATGCTCCCAACTGATGTATTTTACTTAATTATAAATCGTTATTATTAAAATTAATGAGTATTAATTAGTAAATTGTTATTGATGGTGGTTTTTTGTTATGGTAATATATAACCTAATTACCTTGACCGTGTTGTATGTTTGTTAAGACTTTATCTGTTACCTAGAGTTGTAAAAAAAAAATTAAAATTTATACAGAAAAGCATTGTCTCTAAATCGCAAATGATTAATTAATCATTACTTGTTTTATTTTAAATGAGAAATATAGCTTTTTTATGTGAACTTTATAATCGTATGGGGTAGTGAGTTATGTGATATTATGGTAAAATAATATGTGATTTGATGTGTTGTGAACACTGGGTTGTGTGTGTGTGTGTGTGTTAATTTCCGCTATGGGTACCAAAACAAGTATAACATTCATTTCCGTGTTTCAAATACATAAGGGTTAGATAAAGTTGTTAATATTATGACCGGAACCCTAGTCCTAGCCCTCAATGACCCCTAACCCCTGGTCTACACTGGCCCCTGTTCTACACTGACCCTTGTTCTACACTGACCCTAGACCTAGCCCCTACATTAACCCCTAACCCCTGGTCTACACTGACCCCTGTTCTACACTGACCCTTGTTCTACACTGACCCCTAGACCTAGCCCCCACATTAACCCCTAACTCCTGGTCTACACTGACCCCTAGACCTAAACTAACATATGGTCTACACTCACCTAAGTCCTAGCCCACAATGACCCCCAGCCCCTACACTAACCACTGCTCCTCACTAACCCCTAGTCCTAGCCAACCCCTATTGTCAGCCTACCGTCACCCCAGTGTCTATAGTTCGAATATCAATTAGACGAGTCTCCAACACTACCGACGATATCAAGCAGCTATGACTAACCACCGTTACGCCGGGTTAGACCAGGGATATCTCAGCCAGCTGATTTGATAGTCAGCTGATTGGCCAAATATTTCTTTAGGCGGGCGGTTTTACGTTTCCGTGTGTAATGTTGATATGCAACCTTTTTTTTTATAACTGTATTGTGATCATTTCATTCACTCTAAATCCCGTTTAATGGTTTTATTGTTTGTACAACTATCATAGTGACAATAAGAGTTTTCTTCTAGACTATAAGCATTTTGCATTTTGCACGTAGCTTTTCCTAACTTTTTCAAAATAGAAATATAGATTCTTCTTTGATGATAACTTGTTTAAAATTATTTTAGAATCAAAACAAAATAAATTCCCTTGTACCCTACGTTTACGTAAGAATTACTTTTACATACGGCATTGTCTTCTCCATAAAAAGCAGAAATGAAAAGAAAGAATGTTTGTAGTAAGAAGAATCAGTGATTGTGGTAGTTTTATTTGTTTAGCTCTACGTATTTTAAATTGTATTATTAATTATTATTGCTTTTAAATATCATAATTGATATTATTGTTACTGTAGATGCGTTATTAAAATATATTTTTTAAAGAGCAAAATAAAGACTTTGGACATTTAAAAAATGGTTGGAAATATTTCGTCACGTTTCTATCACCTCTACCTGTGTACCTATGCGAGGTGAAACCTGTCACCCAGGTGATTTATCAATCAGGTGACGTCATGGGAGGGTGTACTTGGTGACACGGTGTACGTCATAGCTCGCGATGTCCTGATCAGTGGCTACGCATGGTTGGATGGTGGTCTAATCAAGGCCATCGATTGTTGCGTGACTGTTTTAGTGTTAGTACGTCTGTTCAGTGAGGGGAATTGTGTGTTGGGGGGGGGGGGTAGCTTAGTGTTGGGGAATTGCGGGGGGGGGGGGGTTTGTTTAGTCTGGGAATTAGGGGGTGGGAAGAGAGAATGTAAGATGAGTAATAATATGCTTTTAGTGGAACTGTCTCATTTAAATACTTTTGGTGGATCTGTCTTGTTTAAATACTTTTGGTGAAATTGGTGGCTCTGTCTTGTTTAATTACTTTTGGTGGATCTGTTGTGTTCATGGCAATGTTTAGCGCAACTGATCAGTTTAAATACGTTTTGGGGCTAACTTCTCTTTAACAATGCAACTGTTTTATTGTCTGCATGTAGCCCATTAAATTCTATTCATATTATGTTGACTGTCTGTGTGCTCGGCTGGCTGCCTCAGTGGTCAGCTTGAGACCAGTATGAGTCCAGTGACTCAGGTGACTGAATCAGGTGCTGATTCCTGGCAATGTTCTCTTAATGGAGAAAAAAAAAAGCTAGCGCGCAGCGCGTATTTTGTGTGCGCGGTCTAATACAAGGATATAGGTATTTTACAAAATCACTGCGCGGAGGGTACAAAATTACCGCGCAGCTTTGAGGGAGCATTGCTACCTGGATCCTGAGAAAACTTACATTCAACGCCCTGTTGCCGAGATGGCCAGCAAATGATCGCAACTTTCTTAAACGTACTTCCTACATGCGTGGAGGGATGATAAAGTAGCATGTCGCACAAAGTAGCATGTCGCAAAAAGTAGCATGTCGCACCTTCCGATGTCACTATCTTGTCAAAGCCTGGGGCAGTTCTAATTTTACATCCAGATTCTGCGCATTTTTTTACTGCTCATAATCCCCAGATTTTGCAGCACTACTGGTTTTTTTATGCAACAAAAACATCAAATTTTGTTTCAAAGGTCTTTCAAATGTGTGCTAATCTTTGAATTTGCTTAAAATAATGTATTCAGCTTTTTAATGTGTTTTTTAATCCTATACTTAGTTAGCCTAAATGCATGTGCTGTTGTTTGTTTGGTTTTGTTGTTTTTTTGTATTGTTCTTGTTTTGGTGTTGATGTTGTGTTTTTGTCGAATGCGTCAAAGTTTAAAATTAGCTGTTTCAGAGTTTATTAGATTTCAAGAAACGTCTTCCCTTTTGTTATTTAATAGTTGTATTTGTTGGCTAGTTCTAAACATATACACAATTGAATCATTGTAATGTGTAAATTTGCATACAATTGCGCTAAACATTGAAAACTAATTGCTGAAATAACTATACTCCAGAAGTCTATAAATGCCTCTTCATATTTTTTCCCCGTTTAAATTACGCTTAGCATTGAATTGGCTTTTTCCGCGCGACTTACAACATTAACCGAGTCTCTAATGTCTAAAGCATTCAAGTTATTGTAGAATAAAACAGTCTATTAACCCTTGAACGGCGACCTCTTACTATAAAAAGACAAGTCAGTCTATTTCTGGAACCCGCGGCAGTGACGGCTAACAAGAGAACCCAGAGCCGCAGTGACGGAATTTAAAAAAACAAGGGAATCTACACTTACTCGACACGAGTGAAAGGAGAATAGGGGCGTGTCGTGTCTGACACCCCCCTACCCCAGGAGATGTAGGTGTCACTGGTGACAGCCATGTGTGTCGGGGTGTCGGACACTGTGTAGGTTCTGGGACCTGGCTCTCATCGTGTGGCACAACAGCTGAGCGGTCAGGGGGGATTACTCAAGTCCACGTCTTGCTGTTTTGTGGGAAATAATTACTGGCACGGCGTTAGTTGTATAGATCTAACAGGATGGGTAAGTCAGGATATAATTACTGGCACGGCGTTAATTGTATAGATCTAACAGGATGGGTAAGTCAGACCAAGTTGCCAGGTTTTACCAGGACAACGTTAGAAAATATGTGTATTAATTGCTAGAATAAAAATTTTTTTAACTGAGTTTTGGCTTTGTGCACACAAAAAAGCGGTTGTGTGAACATTATTTTTTTTATTTTTTTAAATATAGTGAAATCTGTCCATAAATAATCGGAGTTCATCAGAAAAACAACTATTCCTGTTATCGTTGCTTGCATTTCTAAAGAAAATCACAGTTTTTTAATATAAAACGAAATTTATATTTTTCTGAACGCCGTTTATTTTTACCCAAACGGATAGCTGCAAATATTTTTTTTTAAATTGTTGGTGTTTTTTGTTGTTTTTCTTTTCTTATTATTTTCTCTTGAATTTATCTCAGAATTTGTGTCGTTTTTTTTAACCTGTAGTAATGAAAATAAAATTAAGTAGTTTTGCAGAGAAAAATTGTGCAAAAAGGTAAAATTTAAGAGAAAATAGTGTCTAAATTGTAAATTTCAAGATAAAGAAAAAGTTTCAACAGAAATGTTTTAGAAATTCCAATAAATGTTTTAGACAGATAAAAATATATCAAACAGCAACGTCTTAAAAATAAATGAAATGTCTAAATTTTTAGACAGGGAAAAATTGTACAGATCCTAATGATAACTTTGGTGAAAGAAAAAGGTTACGCAGCATATTTTTAGATAGAAAAAAATTTGTTTTAAAGATGGAAGTTTAGTTAGAAAAAAAATGTTTTTAACAATATACTTTTAGGTACAATTTATTTTTTCTAAATGGGTAAGTTTTTGTGACAGAAAAATACTCTGTACAAAATATTTTTAGTTTTTGTGAGAGAAAAATATTCTGTACAGAATATTTTTAGATTAAAAAAAAATAATTGTCAGAATTGGAGGAGCTCCAGTTAACAAAAAAATACCTTTTAAACAGTAAAGTTTTATATAGAGCATAGTATTGTTCTAATTCATTGTAGGCCTACTAGTTTATTATTCGTGTCCGGTGATCTGGTTTAGTAATATACATTAGGGTAGTTAGGATTTGAGCATGGGACACTAGTGCTACATCAATCCTCTAAAGGTTGATTGTTGTAGTCCTACCATAGTTGAAGTTTTTTTTTATATTTCAGAAAACACTGCTCAACGTTTAAAATAAGTATACCTATTATATTTTTTTCACACAGTATAAAGTAAAAAAATATAAACGATTTTGTATCGGCTTTATTTTATATTAAATAGGTTAACCAGCCATTTGTTTAGTTGACTAATTTGTTTATCCGAAGAACATTCCTTTAATGGCATATCGACGCGTTGATTGGTTGTTATTATTGTCACGTGTCAGTCCAAAAGTTGGTGTATGAATGTGTGACTCAACCTTGAACACGCTCCCTAGCGTCAAGATGTGCGTGCGGATTGTTTTTCCATAACAAATGGAAAGTTACATTCAGCCTACACGAAAAAAAATGTTATGATCTTTTTAAAGTTTTTAACATTTAATTCATTAAAATGTCTAAATCGATATTTTTGTAAGAAAAAGATTTTTTTTTTAAATTTATTTTCTTCGCGCAAGCTATGAAATATCATGGACATGTTTGTACTTTAACTTGTTAAAAAAAAACCTTTGGGTGTTTTAACATGATAAATAAAAGTGTTCATGCAAAGCACGAATACCGTAATAGAGTTACGTCACTCGTGCCAGTACTATAGGGACATTCTATACCCCTTCAGCACTCATGGTAAAGACATTTTAAAGTACTCTAACCACAGTAGCTATCAGATTTAGCTGGTAGGTTTTTCGTTGTTCATGAAGGTATTTTTTTTTTAGTTTTTTATTTATTTCACTAGTAATAATAAAAGACGTGTATGGTAATATATTTGCCAGAGTGAGTCATGGCTGATAGTGACATAATGTCGACCGCTGATAGTGACACTATGACACCCGCCGTGTGGCAGTGGTTCACTTTTGACGTGTGTCACATGACAGTAGGCGCCTGACTCTCTGGCTGGTAGTGACAGCTGACTGTGTGGCCCCCTGACAACAGTAGCAATGTTGATATAACCTCATGCAACTTACACACAACGTTTAGTTGTTTGTTGTTGTTTTTTTTTTTTTTGGTTTTTTTTATGGCTTTTTTCTCTTTGGTTCGCTTTTTATTTTGATTGTTTTTATTGTTTGCTGTTAAGTTGTTTTTTTTTAATTTTTTTTTTTGGGTGGGGGTGGGGGGGGGGGGGAACTTCTTTTTTTTTTTTTCATTTAAAATTTTTAAAAAATTATGGCTTTGGTTTTGTTTGTATGTTTGTTTATTCATTGGTTGTGGGGTTTTGTTTGTTTTTTTTGTTTTGTTTTTGCTTTTTTTTTTAATTTGAATTATTTGTTTCCGATATTATTTTGAACATAATTTCTTTGTCTTGGTTTTGTTTTTTTGTTTATTTGTTTTCGGTGGGTTTTTATTTATTTTGTTGTTTTTTTTTTTTCTTTTAATAAAAATATTTTTTTTAATAATTGTTTGAAAATAATAAGTGACTAACACAAGTCAGACACTAAAATTGTCACATCAGCCTTTCCTGTATTTTGACCAACGGACTATTAAACGATGGACAATTATGTAATGTCTGGTTCGATACTGACCAGGCGTTTTACTATGCTAAATTACTTCTAATTACGCCTAACTTTGATTAATTTGATCTTTTTTTTCTTTTAATATATTTACAGAACAACAAATGAAATTTACAAGGGAGGCTACTGATGAAAACGTAATTACGGGTTACTATTTAATGGATTACTTCCCTTGTGCAAACTCAGGAAAATTTAGCGGACCCCATCCGTGGATTCTGAACGTCAAAAGTTGATAGTAATTTATCCAGTTGGACTGACCAGTGGATTTACCAGTTGGATTTACCAGTGGATTTACCAGTTGGAACTACTGGCAGGTTCTCAACATTTTTTAGTGTTGTGTATGTGTCTACACCATGTTGACACCCAAAGTGAATTCATTGAAAGGAACAGTTAATGTCCTTGTGGAGGTGTGTTTGTAGTATTTCCTGGATTACCTCCCGTATAATGCCGGAGTTGGATTACACCATTGGTTTCTATTCCTGCGGATACTTGTCTGTTAATCAAAATGAGAATAATAAAGGTAGGTAACTGCGTAAATTCAAAATATTTTAATATTAAATTCTGTTACCTCCCTTTGACTTCGTTACACAAAAAAATAAATCTAATGAAGTTATTCATGTACGACTCTTGCTCTGCCAAAGGACAAGTTATATTTAGAGCAAGCTTTCTTGGAAATAAAATCGCCAATTTCAATGAAACTATCTTTTGTACAGGTGTATAACATCCTACTCTTTGCTCTTGTTTTCCAAGACACATTTTTGTATCAATGAAAGTTGTCTGTGTGACCTGTTTAAATATAATATAATAATGTATATATATATATATATATATATATATATATATATATATATATATATATATATATATATATATATATATATATATATATATATATATATATATATATATATAATCCTAAAAAACATGCTGATTCATGCTGAAACCCGATACAACCTAATCAATCATAACTGATGTATAAAACTGTGACTCAAGAGACCTACAGATAACGGTTGTCGGATAAAAAATATCACCAGGTTGTGGCCGCTGGAACTATGATAAATGTTCTATAGATAAAATATTTGTCCTGGGAACCCTATTATAAAACTATCTGTTAGTTCACTACTTATGCGGCAGACAAAACTAGTAGGGTTTTAGGATATGTATGGGAATACAATAATTACACTGTCGGCTTCAACCAAAGGTAAACTAAAAAATGAAATGTTATAAAATTAGATACACGTTTCGACTGTTAGATGTCGCTTTAGTGTATTATATATATATATATATATATATATATATATATATATATATATATATATATATATATATATATATGTGTATGTGTGTGTGTGTGTGTTTGTGTGTGTGTGTGTATATATAGGAGGGGGTGTTTGTTATCGTATTAAGTAGAAAGACGAGTTAGTGTTGAATTCATGTAACCTTGTTGACATTCAGAAGCAGGATGTAAGTATAACGCAGGAATTATTCTGGCAGAACTAAGGCCATTAGCTCTGGACAAGGAAGGGAAAGGCAGAAATAGTTGAGACACGAGGAGTTTGTTTGGTGTAGGTTGGATGTCATTGTGTTATTGTATGAAAGTTGTGGGACCCGTTATGTAGGCAAGTGGCTGAAAGATTAAGGTAGGCAAGGGTCTGGAAGATTTAGTTAGGCAAGGGTCTGGAAGATTAAGGTAGGCAAGGGCCTGGAAGATTTAGTTAGGCAAGGGTCTGGAAGATTAAGGTAGGCAAGGGTCTGGATGATTAAGGTAGGCAAGGGTCTGGAAGATTTAGTTAGGCAAGGGTCTGGAAGATTAAGGTAGGCAAGGGTCTGGAAGATTAAGGTAGGCAAGGAGCTGGAAGATTAAGGTAGGCAAGGAGCTGGAAGATTAAGGTAGGCAAGGAGCTGGAAGATTTAGGTAGGCAAGATGTGGGAATAAGAAATTAAGAGAGGGAGAACTAATATATTCAAGTAATAAGAATATTATTTTAGGCAAGGACTGGTAACATTGATGTATACAAGAAATGGTAGGAAATTAAAAAACCAGTAATGTAGGCAAGATTAAGGATTATTGGTGTAGGCAAGGAGTGGAGGCATTGATCTAGGCAAGAAGGGGAAAATTTAATGCACACAATAAGGTGTAAAATAGTTTAGGGGAAAAGTGAACAAAATACATCACTATGGGTAACGTGTTAACTACCAATGTAAACAAGAATGAAGCGCATTGATGGGGGTGGGGGGGGGGGAGTAGATGTAAACAAAGCAAGTTGTTAACGCATCAATCTAGACAAGATGTGAACATATCAATGTAAGCAAGATATAAGTGTAAGCAAGTTGTCAACACACCAGTGTAAGCAAGTTGTCAACACACCAGTGTAAGAATGTTGTCAACACACAGGTGTAAGAATGTTGTCAACACACAGGTGTAAGCAAGTTGTCAACACATCGGTGTAAGCAAGATGTAAACACACCAGTGTAAGCATGTTTTTAACACACAAGTGTAAGCAGGTAGATATGGCAACTCCCTATTACACCATCAAGTGCCTAGCGCTGAACACTTCTCTTATCTCTATAGAACACCGTGACATTGAACTATTGAAATGACATGCAACTTTAGTGCAGGTCATGTGACCAACCCGTGGGTGTTGCGGCGGTGTCACGTGTCATATCGAGAGTAGATCACGTGATATCGGCCATTGTTGCCAGGGGGACAAGCGCCATTGATCCTGTACGATACAAGTGTCACTTTATTTTTTATTTTTAAAAAACAGTTACAGCTATTTATATCTTACCTGCGTTGATACTACAGCTGATAAAACAAGGGGATGCTACTCTATCCGCTATATGGTTACTAGTTGAAATTGAACTGAGAGTTAACTCCCTGGGTTTTGAAAATTGCTCAATTTTGAAAAAGAAAAAAAAAATTGTGCACTTATTATTTTACACTGGAGTGGGTGGAGGTTGGGTATTATTTTATGGGATTACATCTGTTTTTCTTAGTTCAGTTGGTGCTAGAAGTGTCTAGTTTAGAACAGCAGGGGTGGAGGTGGGGGAGGGGGGGGGGGTGTTAGGGTAAGAAACATTACCGGCTTACACATTCTTATTTTTATGAACAGAAGCTTCTCGGTTGTAATAAAAAACATCAGGTGTGATTTCTTCAAACATGTGATCTTATAATACAAAACTTTTTTTGACTGAGTTCATGCTAGGGGGGGGGGGGCGACAATGTTATTTAAATTTAAGGGTGGTGATTATGTAAATGTTCCATTACATTATAAAAGATGGTGTCCCTTGACCGTAAAACAGATATTTTAGTTTTTGAACGACCTTACTGCTCTCAGCAATGCCACACCTGGTGCACACACCTGGGTAAAAAGAAAAAAATCAGCACATGGTTGTCTACCCTTAAATTTTATTTATGAGTTATTTCCCTTGATGGGTTAATTTTATTTTTTTAACTTTAAAACTCTAATCGGTGTATCTTTAAGATACTTATTGATGTTGTTATTTTAATTTAAAAAATTAAAATCGAATTTCGTGAAGGGTTAATTTTTGCATGAGTGGCTGCTTTACAGTTGTTATGAGAGATTCAGATCTGGGCGAGCTGAAAACGAGACCAACATAGGTGTGTCACGGTTCCGGAAGAAAAGCTGTTGATTGACGATTATGGACTGGGAGAGATAGTGATGTTAGGGTGGGATCTTGTGCACTAGACATCTACATACATGCTTTTAAAAAAAAATTGTTTGATGTTATGAATTTATCTGGCCATTTCTTGCAGGACAAATTGGAAATTTTAAACCATTTTTTTTCATCAAGAGGTAGTAACTTGATCCGGCTTACAATAGAAATATATGACATTTCTTTAAAAAGAATTCTAAGTAATTCAAGAAAAGAAAAAATATGGACACAAAAATAAAATTTAGAATCTTGGAAATACATTACAATATTTCTTTTTAAATAATTTAACAAGACAAAGAAATAAAATGATAAAACAAAGAACCGCTGCTGTTAATAACATAGAAGGTGGGTGCCATATGACTACAATCATTCTCCCCCATCCCCATACATCCACCCCACCCTGGAATTAATGAACTGCTAATTGTTATTGAGATAAATAATTAAAAATAACACAACACAGTTGCGAATCGAAGTCACAATCATTTAGGTTTAATGAAATTTCGAATCGTTTAATTGACTCCGTTTTTTAGTTTTAACATCGAAACTGACGGCTCATCTGTACCCACTCATAAATCAGCTAGACCTCAACAAATGTGGTCTTGCCTGTTAAAAATAACACCCTAACCACCTTAATTATTAAACGATTCATTAACATGGATGATTATTTTAAAACTATATTTTCAGATATTTTGTTAAACAATTTTGATCACTAGATACTGTCTATCAAGTTGTTAAATCATTAACTTTTTTTTTCTTAATTTTTTTTCATTTTCGTTTTTTCACCCAAATTCAAAAATATTTTGTGTGTAAATGTCGCCAGTCACATGATGCCTATGTTGTGGCACTCCACTGAAGCGTCACACAAATAAAATTCTATCTTGTAGGAGCCAGAAATCTTCACTACCCAAAAGACTTCGGGTGTTCACATTCAGCGTGTAGATAATGGCCTGATTCAACGGTGACATCTATGTAGATCTGAGACAGCGCCAAAGCTGGCGTACAAAGAAAATTTTAAACGTTTTGTTTGGGGAGAGGCCTACATTGGTGGGAGAGGGGGGGGGGAGAAATGTCCAGTTATATCTATATGCCACGTATTTAAAGTTTAAAGAGACGCAAAAATAAAGTGGGGGAGAGTGGAGCTTCACAAGTGGTTGCGCTTATTTATATGTAAATATCTGCACTTATGTATATATATATATATATATATATATATATATATATATATATATATATATATATATATATATATATATATATATATAAATATATATATACGAGAAAAATGGCCCGTTGAGGAAGGATACACCGGGCGCTAGCTTGATAGTGCTGTCTCTTTTCTCTAAACTAAAACCAACCCACCCCCCCCCCCACACACACCACCCCCACCCCACCCCCACACACCACCCCCCACCCCCACCCCCCACCCCCCACACACACCGCCCCCTCCACACACCGCCCCCCCCACACACACCACCCCCCCCACCCCTCCACCCCCCCCCCCCCAAAAAAAAAACATGCCTACCGTCCCATTCAACGAAATATAATTATATACTTTTTCCAGTGTCCGCCCCTTCCCCGAAAATTCTACCCCCGCCCCCGAAAATTTCAAGTACCCCCACCCCTCTCTGGGGAGGAAAAAGTCTAAACTAAAACCACCCCACCCCCCACACACACCACCCCCCACCCCCCACACACACCACACCCCCCACCCCCCCCACCCCCCCCACCCCCCCCCCCCCCCAAAAAAAAAACATGTCTACCGTCCCATTCAACGAAATATAATTATATACTTTTTCCAGTGTCCGCCCCCTCCCCGAGGGGGGGGGGGGTCTCAGACATTCT